TGGTTTTGTCTGAATCATTGTAAAATATTGGTGTGAGTTAACATTCACATTGAAAGGATCAAGGAGAGATTTGATTAAGGTTGTTTTTCTGTCATAAGGTATCAAATCTCTAGTTAACTATAGTTATGTAATTGCTCTTAATCCTGAGTTTATTATAAATAGGTAATCAAGTAGTTTTCATTCTTTGATTTACCAACGGGTGAGGTTCGATCTATTGACGGCCAATAACTCGGTATTTTGGGAGTGAGATTATTTGATTATCGGTATTTATGAGATAAACAACATGGAATTTGTAGGATATGTCCCCTTGATATGTTTCAGTACTTGGATATTAAAGACACTGGCCAGTGCATGTAATCCATTAGAGAAACTATCATAGTCAATGGAATAAATAATTGATTGAGTTACAGAAAACTTGTCAATCAATTATAGACATTCTACAAAGGGGCGATGCATATTCATGTTATAAGTGTTGTTAATCTTGGAGTTCAAGTTCGGGCTTTTAGTGGAGTAGCACCGAATTAGATAATCATTCGTTGATTATCAGGAGCCTTGATTAATAACAGATGGTAGATCCCCAAGCTAGCTTGAGACAAGGGATGGGTTATTTTTCGGATAAATGATGACTTATGGGTTACATGATCTTGGGTTTTACGACTCAAGTTTGTATCCAAAAGAGCAAGTGAGAGATTGTTGGGTTTGCTCTTTTACTAAAGCCCAAATGGGTTATTAGTATGAGAAGAGCTCAAGGAACCTAGAGCCCAATGAGCTAGGGTTTCTTAGAATCCATATAAATAGTACCTCTTAAGTCATTAGCCTCCAGAGGTCTTTTTTGTGAGAAAGAGGCAAGCTCAGAATCTAATCAGTGCCCACACACTTCCCCTTCCTCCTCGAGAGATAGTTTGGAAGATCTTCCACAGTCCAGCTTCAAGGAGGTTGTTCGTGCTGCGGCGCTGAGGTGAGCTGTTCGTGAAGAGGAATCCTACAAGGGAAGATTCTACACGAGACCTGCGCACCGAGAGGTAATTGTGAAACAATGATGATTCAGTAAGCATACCAATGTACTAGGTCCTAAACCGCTTCCGCATAAATCTAAGATTTCCTACATCATTCACATGGAAAAATATATTTTTTCTTTTTAAAAAATAAAATAAAATTGGTGAACCCCACTATATTTGTTTCTCAACATGAGAAATTTCTTTCATACTACATGAGAGAAATGTTAGGAACTCGGTTCCCTCAACTCGGCTAAGAAGCTTTTTTGCGGAAGTCAATCAACAAGATCGTGAATCTCGGAAGGCAATCTTAACTCGGCTTAAACTTCACCAGATCGGGCAGACCAGCGGAAAAATAAAAATACAAAGGGGAGAAAGAGAAAGAGAACACAACCAGATTTTAACGTGAGAAAATCTTCTCCAACCACGTGACCTAGTCCAGTTCAAATGTTTACTATGATAATAATGGGTACAAAGAATCAAGATTTACCAAAGTGGTGATTAATATAACCTATCCAACAATGATTCCCTAAAGATGTTTCACTCAAACTCTATCTAGAGGTCTCTTAAATACAAAGCTCAAAGTTTTGCTCACAAATCTCTCTAGTGTCACTCAAGAGTCTCTCAAAATCATCTAATCTTATAACTTAGCCTTCACCTACAACTAATGCATATATAGACGAGGTGAAATCTATGATTTAGGATTTTAGGAAACCCTTCAGTGCGCTTGGATTTAGCATTGAAGGGAGAAAGCCCAACAAGAAATAATCCTCTTAAAAAAATTACAAATTGGATTTTTTTTATCCAATATTAAAAAAAATTACAAATTGCAAATTATTTAAATATGAAATAAGATATTCTATGTTTACCAAAAATAAAATAAAATATTCTACTTACTTTTTATAATGCCCACCTTGCTTACCACTTTACCTATCTTTTTTCATATTTATCTTGCTTAATACTTTTCAACACCGTCGATCAAAATCTCAATTAATCGTTATCATTTTTCTCTTGTCTTGGAATTTTGATCTAAAAATATTAGAAATTGATAGGCAAAATAGACATAAGAAAAAGGTAAGTAGAATAACTTATTCTTTTATATATATATATATATATATATATATATATATATATATATATATATATATATGGGGCAGGATATTCTTACACCGGTGTAAGAGTTAGAAGTTTTACACTCAATCTTGATCATTGATCCACTTGTATCCAATGGCTCACATTACTAAAAAATTTGAACCATTAGATATAAGTGGGATCAGCAGACAAGATTAAGAGTGTAACTTACACTGGTGTAAAATGATCCTGACCCTATATATATATATTATACTATACAAATCAGGATCAAGAGAACCAATCAAAACGATTTATGATTTACAAAAGTATATTGCTTGATATGAATAAACCTATAAATTCAATATATTATAAAATTAATCAAATAAATCCTTCTATCATTACATTTAATATTTTTTTCATCCTATTTTTTATTTAATTTTACCATGTAAGTGATGTAACATGCCATACGGGGTGAAATTGCCATGCCATAAGTGATCAACATGTCATTATTATTGGCGCAATTGGATTTGCATAAATGTAAAGACCATTCTGGTTTGAAATGCAGTTGATTATCATGGTTTTTAATCTCATAGATTTTTACTTCTTGCAATTAGAGGTGGCAAAGTGGGCGGCCCGCCCCGCCATCAACCCACCAAAAATTAAGTCAGCCCGTCCCGTTTGGCGGGTTGGCCCGCCAGCCCGAGTCTATTTTACACTGACCCGCCTCGACTCGCTTATGCCCGCCATCAACCCGCCAAAAAATAAGCCCGCCCCGTCCCGCCCCGCCCCGCCCCACTTTTGAGATGGGTTGAAAAATTAAGCCCGCCCCGCCCCGTTTGGCGGGTTGGGCGGGTTGGCCCGCCGAGCCGAGCTTGTTTTGCCGGCTCTACTTGCAATGCAAACCCACGAGAAATCTCCTTTGTGTAGGTGTGGTTATCCTTCTCGCCTTTGTTACCACAGAATCTCCTCCTTCATGAATCAGCCTTCTATGCATACCAACAAACAAACCTTCTTGCTGAAGATGCAAGATCAAGCCTCTAAAGATGGCCTCATGAGGATGATAGTTTCTTCCAGACTATGCTTAAGAGAGAAAGAGGGAGGAGTGTGTTGGCACTTTAGGATTTCAGTTTTCAGATCTTAGTAACGTAGAGGTTGGTGACTAAATAAAATTATGGATTTGTTTTTTCTAAAGTTACTTTAGATAACTTTATCTAATGTTCATCGAAACGACGATGTTTTGAGGCGAAAATCATGGTGTTTTTGTAATTTTAATTTATTTCATGGTTATAATAGTCTTTATCATTCTAATTTTTTAATTTTTCAACCCCAAAACGACGTCGTTTCGATGAACATTAGATAAAGTTATCTAAAGTAACATTAAATACTTTTTTCTCTAAAATTATTTATATGGCCACTAAAAAACCCTAACTCTAAGCTTCTTGAGCTTTAAATTTTTTGGGCTATTTTCATGTGTTGAGAGCCTAATTGAATTTTGGCAAAAGGACATAAACCCAACAATTATATGTTAGGCCAAGATTATTTTACATCGGTATAAATTATATTCTAAAATTTAATCGTTGATCCCATTTATATCCGATGGTTCTAATTTACTATATATTTGAGCCATTAAGAATTCAATATTTTTCATTTTAATTTTTTTCGTCCTACTCAAATCCTTCGTAGCGTAACATAGATCTCTTATTATTTTTACTATTATCATTATTTATTATTATTCCATAGAAATTATTATTTAATTATATAGGAAAAATATTTTTCCTGTATATGCAAAAAAAAGCTAGTTGATTACTACATGCAACAATACGGGCATGGAGGCATAATTGACAATGCATACGAATAAGGAGGACAACTAAGTGGAAAGCGACGTTCAATTAAAGCAACCACCACATTTTGCTAATGACAGAATTTTTTTTTTTTTAAGTTACCCGACCCTAATTATCTATTTGAGACGAGTTGGCTCCCTCTGGTATCTCCACGAGTTTTGACTCTTTGAGTCGGCTATGGGACTAATCCGGAGTGCGGGGGAACAGTGATGGCTAAAGGTTCAGCCCCTTCCCCAAGAATGCATTCAGCAGAAATCGAACACATGTCCAACCCCACTAACTCAGCGCCAAATTACCAACTGAGCTGCACCTATCGGGTCTAATGACATAATTCTTACAACAAGATATTTTTATAAAAATTTATATTAAAATAAAAAAAAATTAGTCTTATGTTATAGGAGATCAATATCTCATATCATAGATACAATAAATATTTGGTCCACTTATTTTAAAAAATAAAAAATGTGTGGACTTCACATTTTTTGTGCTTATGACACGTGATATTAATTTTCTATAACATAAGACTAATATTTTCTTTAAAATAATTATGCAATTTTAAGAGCCTTTCACAAAATTATTTACCAGATAGTTTTGTGAGTATTATTATTGTATTATACACCATTATTATATGGTGGCAATGTTTAAGATAAGTAAAATGTGTTATGTTGACATGTGGGATAAAATGATTGTGTATAAATTTGAATAAATGACATATATTAACGGCCTGTCATGTCACGGTTAACCCATGTGTCAATTTGCAAAAAAAATTTGTCCAAAAAAATTAATAAAAGTTAAAATTTTAATAATTTTGACAATATATTATGGATCAAGGATCAACGTATAAATTTTATTCAATTTCTTTTAGAACTATTTTTAAAAAAAATAAATATTTAACTTTTACATATGACCCGCGATCCACGGCAGATTGTGTCTGAGTTTCAATTTTTACCGTCGAACAAAAACGGGTCATTTTCAGTTGGACAATTTGATCCACTAAGTTAAACCTTGACCCGAAACCGACACGTTTTGCCACCCTATTAATGTTAATACATAGAGAGAGAGGCTAAGAATTTTCTTCGTTTATGACCCAATATTGTGGAAAAAGTAATGTGCATTGTGCACTCTCCGGTTCGTGTCATCATCACCACCATGACACTTGCCAACGTTACAACAACTTCCTCTGCCTCTCTCTCTCTCTCTGTCTCTGTGTGTCTCTCTCTAGGACATTTCAGAACCCATTTGTAGCAACGAAACAATGAGTGGCACCGCCTTTAAGGTTGCTGTGTTGGGAAGTGGAAGTAAGTTATGCATTTCACTGCACATACACTACACATACACTTCATCTCTCTATGCCCAATTGATCTTATTTTATTTTATTTTTCGCTTTTAATTAACTAATTATATATGTATATATATATATATATATATATATATATATATATATATATATATATATATAATATTTGAATGTTGGCAGTTTCAGGAGCAGTGTGTGCATCAACTCTTGCACGAAATGGGGTTTCTGTAACTCTGTTTGAATCAGCTAGAGGCCCTGGTGGACGCATGTCCCAGAGAAGGTTCTTTTTTCTTTCTTTTCCCCCTTTTTATGTTAATGGGGTTCTGTGTGATCATTGTTTTATCGATATGGAATTGCAATTTTGAAGTTACTGAATTGATTCAAGGAGAACTCTTATGTTATATCATTGCTACAGAATTTTCCATTTGCTTTCTTAAAGTTTTATTTTTTTATTTTTAAGGAAAAAACTGATTTCGGTTTTCCTGATTGCTGTATTTGGTTAATCTGAATATGTGCTAGTAAGAAGGTCTGTGAGGAATTGAATTTTGTAATCTGAGAAAACTTAAGGAGAAGAGTCAGTAGACTTATTGCTCTGTTGGCTTATGTTTTGAAATTGTTCATAGAGAAATGTTAGCAACACTTTCTTTTCAACATTCTCACTATTATTGGGTGAAATCTCATGTTGATCACATGAATATAGAGTGTGCCCAGATGATTAAGTGGGACTAGCGTGGGATTTTACATGATAATAGAGAGTGTTGAAAATAGAGTGTGAAAGGTATGTTGCCAGCATTCTTCTTGATCAGATTAGCTAGCATGTAGCTTAGTCTCTGTTTAAAATCTCTACTTCACTGTTTTAGTCTGTATTATTTGAAGCATTGTTTTAAAGCAACTCATATATTTTTATAGAAATTCTTAATTTTCTTGTTTGCTTTGTTGAAATACTTTTGCTGATTGTCTTTGTTTAGTCAAAGAAACAGCACTGGTATTTAGAGACAATTACTTTAGTTCAAAGTATAACATAGTTAAAATTGTTATTTCCTTACTAATGTTACTGAAATTTCTTTCATTGGCTAAGTGGTAATTTGAAAGAGGATACTAAATTTTTTATTTTCTGGAAATCCAGAGATAAAACTGAAGATGGGAAGGAGCTGCATTTCGACCATGGTGCTCCGTTTTTCTCAGTTAGCAAGTCTGAAGTGTTATGTCTAGTTCAAGAGTGGGAGTCAAGGGGTCTAGTAGCTGAATGGAAGGAAAAGTTTGGCTCATTTGATTTTCACACCCTTAAATTTAACAACACAGAGCAGGTTGACAACTATTCCACATATGTTCTCAACTTTTTTTGTGCAGTATATGTGGTGAAGATTGATTAGACAGCGTGTCATACTTTCATGTGTATTAGTGGTTAGCAGTGTCAATACTTTCGATTGAAATTTGTTAGAATATATAGAGAATATCTCATGATTATAGGATAATTAGAGTATTTTAGATGATTTCTTATGATTGGTTTCCATATTTCCAATTATCTCATGATTTGTTTCCTTATTTAATTAGGATTAGGAGTCTACTATTAGTATAAATAAGAGTTAGTCCTTTGTCTTTTATAACACATCATTCGCAACAATATCCATAATTCCATATAATTCTATTATTCAGAGCTGTTCTCTCCTTTCCTTCCACTTTTGCCATTGGAGTCTTTCTGTTTCTTTAATTCGGTGGTTGAAAGGACTTTGTCTCCAACACTTTCCATTAATTTAGTAGTATTTCAATTTGGGTTCCATGACACCCCTTTAAAGTCTTGGTTTTAAGTTCCCTAAAAATGTGAATACCAGATAGGTGAAAATATATATCTTAGCAGCACCTTAGATATGAGAAAAACACATATTTTCTAGGAAACTCATCATATTTTTCTTCCATTTTAGCATCAATTACGTACTTGTTCAAGTTATGTAGAAAACATGATTGTGCCACAAAGCCCCGTGTATCTGAAATCACTTTTATTGGAAAAGTTGTTTCTCTGACTGGGAATTTTTTTAGGAAGGATTAAGCAAAAGATTTGTGGGTGTTCCAGGCATGAATTCTATATGTAAAGCATTATGCAATGAGAGTGGTATCTACTTAATTCTTTTAATTAGTTTTGTTATTCACAGTTGATTGTGAACCCTTGCTTATTCATTTTTTTTCATTGTTAGGTGTGGAAAGCAAGTTTGGTGTGGGTATTGGAAGAGTTGAATGGTTGGCAGATGAAAATTTGTGGTCATTGACTGGGACGGATGGACAACATCTTGGTCAATTTAAGGGGCTTGTTGCATCAGACAAGAATATAGTTTCTCCCAGGATTTCAGAGGTGACAGGACGGTTACCACCTCTTGGTATGAACATGATGGCTTTCTTCCTTAGCTCTCTCCTTACTTTTCCATGTTAAAATTGATCCCTGATTCATTTTATCTTTTGAGGAGACAATGTTGGGCTCTATTAGTAGGTCTTTCAGTCAGAAAATTAGCTGTGTAGAGAGCCATCTAGCTTATATTTTCTATTAAACAATTTAGTGAATGAACCTGGCAAAAAAGAATAAAAGTGATTGGGAAAGATTAGCTGGTATCAGCCAATCGTCATGGCAATAAACTTGTTGCGTGCACCATTCCTCTTTGGGTTAAAGAGCATTTTCTGCCTCTTTTCACTTGAATTATCATTTATTTTATTTTAGAGGCTATTATACTGTTGTCCACCATAAAAATTTGCTACGAAGAGTATACAAGTGAGCGGAAAAGTAGCTTTGATGAATAATGACTTCATAACCTTTTTAAAAGTGTCAGCTTTTATTGGACCTCTTGCTGAATCTTTTTGACACATTTTACCTAATTCCATTGTTTAGTTTTCTCTTCTTTTCTGCTTCAGTGAGATGACTTGTGAAACAGGCTTTTCTATGTATGCACAGGCTTGGGGTTGACTGCACTTGGGAATATTAGTTTACAGCTATGCAAAATTTAGCATGGCTATATATGTCTGATTTAAGAGACTAGATAAAAAACATGTATGTTGGAAGTTTATCACTTATCTGTAATCGTGTTTTGCTTTCCTGGATATTACTAGTAGCACTGGGCTATATCCAAAAGTAAACGCATTGATTTTAGTGTTAGAAACCCCCTATATAGGATAGTAGATTAGAAAAAATAATGGTGGACCCTAAGAACCATGTGGGCCAGCTTTTGTTAGTTAGGCCTAGTTAGTTCCCAAAAGGGTTTTTTTTAACAGGGGTAATTAGGAAAATCCCAGCAGAATTATTTAGTTAGATCATTGGAATTATAAATAGGTTGAGTGAATACATGTAGGGCAGTTAGACAGTAAGCAGAGAGGCAAGGTCAGAGATTAGGATTTCTCTAGCGATTAGGAGAGTTGTGAGAGAGAGTCGATGTAATTTTCTACCTCACTCACCAGGGAACTCATCTATTATCTAATGGGAGGAACTTATCAATAAAGATTCAATGAAGATTTGTTTTCTTAAACTGTTAATTCTCAATTCTTGAGTCAGTTACTATCATATAGAAATTGTAGGAGACATGAATATTATTTTACTGTTAGCTGTTGTTTTCCTTCAAACTATTAACTAATGCTAGCAGGAGACACTTTTTATAGGCGTCTATCATGTTTGGCAAGCATGGATGCAATTGAGAAGTGTTTCTTTAACTTTTCCATTTTTGCAACAATCTAGAAAGTTGAGAGGGATTACAATTTACTATTTGATTGCAATAATCTAGCAGGAGGCATGAATATGATAAATAATCCAATTGATAGATTCAACTTGAATTTGAACTTTAAAGTATGGAATATATTTTGACCATGTTTTACTCTCTTGTGATGGATGCAGATTCAAAGTTGGTGCCAGAGTTGTCTGAAAAGTTGTTCAATCTTCCTGTTAGGCCGTGTTTTGCTGTAATGCTGGCGTTTGCAGAGCCTCTGTCAACAGTATGATATAGCTATACAGCTCCCAAGCTGCCATTAAATTTTACAAGTTTGCTAACTTATGAATTTGATATGGCTCATTTGATTTTGGACCCATTTCATTGCTCATGCTTGGTTTTGGTGATATTATTCTTGATTTCCTTTTTAATGTGTAGCTTGATATCTTCTTCCTCCTCCTCCTCCTTCTTCTTTCCCACTGGTGTGAAGAAGTTAAGTAGCTTGAAACCTAATAATATAAAACAACTGAGAGAATGAGATTGGCAGAGAAGGTGGTTTGTGGTAATTTTTGTAATCAACATATTCCAAAGTATAATTGACTGCCACACAAAACAACTTGAGATGGTTTTTCGTAATTAATTTTTGTGTGGAAAGATATTGCATCTGTAATGAAGTTGAATTAAGGCTTTGTTCAGTATTTTAGTCTTCTATTTAGGAACATTTTCTGTTATGTAGAATTGAGGATCTCAGTCTACAAATTTTAATTTATGATTCAGATTCCAGTCAAAGGCATCTCTTTTAAAAATTCTAAAGTTTTAAGCTGGGCTTATTGTGATAGCAGCAAGCCAAGCCGTTCTACTACAAGGTATTTGTTTAATGTTGCATTAGTGGGACAAATATATTGTAAATTCAGTTTCCATTGATTTGTAACTCACGAGGTGGCATCTTTACTTTACAGTGAAAGATGGGTTCTTCATTCAACAGCAGAATACGCAGAGGATATAATTGCTCAAACTGGAATGAAGAAGCCCTCAGACATTACACTGAATAAAGTGACTGAACAGCTTTTCCAAGAATTTCAAAGCACAGGGCTTAACATATCTCAACCCTTTTTCAAGAGAGCCCATAGATGGTAAGTAACCTATGTAGCACCGACACGGGACACGATACGACACGACACTCCGACATGTTAATTCTAAAATATGTTAGATTTCGACACGTTAGGACACGTTTTGATATTGAATAATATTTTTAATTTATGTTGTGTATATTATATTTAATATTCAATAATTTAACAAAAAAATAAAGCTAAATTTATAATACCCATTAATTTTGTAAAGAATCATAAGATATCACGAATATTTATATTAAATTCAATAAAATGGTAATAGTAATCCAACGAATCTAATAGTTAGAACTAAAAACGCAACGCAACCTTTGAACCTTTTTTTGAGTTTCTACAATGCACGTTGAAGTGTCGGGGAGTCTGAGAGTGTCGGACACAACATATCGGAGTTTTTGAAGTGTCGGTGCTTCATAGTAAGTAACTAAGTATGTAAATAGGAGCTCTGAGTGATTTCTATTTCTCAAGTCATGGACATATATATAATATAACTAGCATTACGATTAGGTGTTGGTGATTTGAAAGAACTATCTTGAGTTCTAGAGCATTACTATATATTTCAGGTTGCATTAAGCTGGATAGTGCCTACTTTGTTCATCTTTACTAATTATCTACTAATGTTTTCACATTTTAGAATTTCAATCGCCTTTACCTCTGGTTGATAATTTTCTAAATCCAGTCATTGAAAACCTCTTTCTTCTTACAAAGTTTTGATCTATGGAATATCCCTGCATGTATTTGAGGTTACATCTGTGCATGAAAAGCGATGATGTTTATTTTCTTTTGAAATCAGGTCACCCATTATATGTTTAAGATAAACATTAAATAACTATGCCAAAAATATGGATGAATGCTAACCTGTCAGATAGCACTCACTATATGTGGTGCATGATGTCTTTCGAAAATTTCATCTGGTTAATGAGAGATATAGGTGTGCACCGAAAGGGCCATTATGGATCACGATATTAATAAATTATTTTTTGTTTTTCTATCTACATTGTTTAGTTTTCCTGTAGCTACTTTAAAATTAGAAACTGAAGAAATTTTCAAATAGTAATAATAGTACTGTATTTCTATTATATGCTTATGATGAGAACATTTTTTGTAATGTTGGTTGGTTTTGTAGGGGGAGTGCATTTCCAGCTGCTAGTATTGCCCAAGACAAAAAATGTCTTTGGGACAGAAACAAGAGACTAGCCATCTGTGGAGACTTCTGTGTTAGTCCCAATGTTGAAGGTGCCATAGATAGTGGCTTGGCAGCAGCATTAAGGCTTAAAGATAGTGTCAGCTGTTTATAATTGGAGCCTTGAAAGTATTATTATTTGTAGTTGTTCAAACTTCTATCTGAGCTTATTTTTGCTGGGAAAACTCATGTTTAAATTTCTTTTAAGTCATTGCTGTGTTACCAAGTAAGATAATAAGGTAAACGTGTTTACGTTTATAGATGATGGACAAATCTACTGTGACTATGAATTTGTGATCATGTTATCCCTTTTTTGTTAAATAGAAGACATTTCATAAAGCACCTTGGCCTACATATCTCAAAATATCAGCATCCCACGTCTATTGGTATAGGTTAACCTCTTACAAATTATAGTTATTCTATGTAAACTATTTATTTCTTTGGAATCATGGCATTTGAATTTATCTATAAGCAGCAAAATTTTGTTTCCCCGTTTGGAACTTTCGAGTTGCTGACACTGATACATAAGAAATTCTTCTAACTGAGTAACTTATATGCTTGAGAAGTTTAGGATTTTCTTTTCATTCAAAGTCATGTCGATAAACTGGTTGATCCATGAACTGTTTTGCTCTCTGATTTTCCAGTTAAAGTGGCTTTTGGAAAAATTACTAATCACCTAAAGCCAAAAAAACAAAAAAAATGTTATTAGGAGGTGACACCTTCTGTGTTAGTGTCATAAATTTCTAAACATCTACAGGCTTTTTATATTGTAACACATTCAATTTTGGGTGCAAAGTAGTGGGAAATTTTCAAGAAATAAAATTGTTCCTATTTATACACACATAAAAAAATAAAATAAAATTTGCTCCTTAAGTTTAGAAAAATAACAAAAAACTAAACATTTCTTACCATGAATATCGTTATATATTAATAATTTTTGTTCCCGTTTTTCTTATTCCATTTTTAGTATAGCAAATTAGGAATCTCATTCTAAATCTATCGTCTGTGATTGGTCTCCCAAAATGTATGTGTCTAAACTTTAAGCAACTGTGACATAAAAATATAGGAAGTATACCATTAATATTGTGTTTATTTAACCATAATAGAGCTGTCAAAGTTATCAGTATGGAATTACACGTTCTGATGTTGAAAAAGTACTTGAATCGAAATTACAAACAAAAGTAGAGTATCTTCCCAAAAAAAATTGCATGTAGTGAATACATCAATAGAAGAATGCTTAACTAGTGACTTCACACTTCAAACATTCACCGTTTCTTATTGCATAGTAATAAAAAAAACATTAAAATTCCCACTTAGATCATTGCTCATTCCTTTTTCTTTGGGTTTTATAAATTCAGTTTCCATAAATTTTAAAGTTTTTTTAATATAAATTTTTGGTTTGTAACTATATTCTCCTACTCGATAAGTGATAAACTAATCTCTTTCCCGTTTGGATCATTTTTTTTTAGTTAAAAACTATTTTTTTTTTTAAAAAAATACTTCTATTATGAAGTCCGTTTGTAGGTCTGTTTTTTTAAAAAATAGAAGCCACAAAAAAGTTAAAAATATTTTTTTAAGCTAAAAATTATTTAAAAAAAAGCGAAAGTCAAAAGTTAATTTTTTTTTCAAAATCCAAATATTTTTTTTGAAAAGCTAAATAACTTTAACTTTTGTAAAAAATATTTTTATCCAAACGGCCCTAATTGCAGTCCCATACTACAGAAGTGACTCTTACCAATTTTAAATTTTAATTTGATTACTGTTGTGATTTTTCTTTTCAAAACACTATTAAAAAAAAAATTAAATGCATCACGTATCTAAAGTACCAACGTGCATTGAAAAGAAATTTTTTCCTAAAATAATAAAGGGAAATACTATTTTTTTTTAAATAGGAGATAACTATCTTATGTAATAAAGAAAAAATAAATGAATCTCATCATCATAAGAAAAAAAGGGTGCAAAAATCGAAGTAAGAGAACATCATAAATTATTTCCTATGAAAGAAAAATAATAAAACCTTTTATGAATTTAAAGTTTTTAAAATTACTTTAGATAATTTTATCTAATATTCATCAAAATACACAAAAAAATATATGTGACCCATTTTTTTTTTTTCTCTTCACATGAGTCTATATGGATCCTGCATATTTTTTTATGTGTATTTTGATAAACAAAATTATCTAAAAGTAATTTTCGTTTTGATTATTTATGTCTTTCTCTTTTCTTGTTTTTCTTTTTCACTGTTAAATAGCTCACTTCACTTTATGTGGTTGAGCTATATATATCCAGACACAATATTATTTCAATATTTTTTTTTTTTTTGAATATTTTGCTCTCTTTTTTTTCTGATGATTATATAGAATGAAGGAATATCCACGTTTCTTCCATCAAGATGGGTTTGAAGATTTTGTTTGTAAGCATGTTTTAAAACAATAGGTGAACATTTCATCTCATTTGGATAATGTTTGCATTATCATATCCTTCACACTGCCACAAATTTCATGCCACGTGTTACAAAGCAATCACTAATATATGGTCACTATTATTATTATTATTATTATCAGAGTAACTCGTTTTGTTTTGCTCATACCACACAAATAGTAGAAGCAGAAGCAGAAACAAGTCTCAATTGAAATGGCATCTTCAGTTATGGCTTCTGTGAGCCTCAAACCTGTTCCTTTCACTGCTGAGAAATCTTCAGTTAGAGGGCTTCCTTCCCTTTCAAGGAATTCATCTTCCTTCAAAGTTGTGGCCAGTGGTGGCAAGAAGATTAAGACTGACAAACCTTATGGTTAGCGACCACTTTTGAAATAAAAATATTCATAGATATATATGCACTACCCTTTTCACTTTTCACTTTTTATTTTTATTTTTTTATGTTAATTATTGTAGGAATTAGTGGTGGCATGAACTTGAGGGATGGAGTTGATGCATCTGGAAGGAAAGGAAAGGTTTGTGATTGTGTTTAGTATCTTGCATTAAATTATAATATATAATATATTGGTTAACATGATAGGTTTTTTTTTATGTTTTTAGCTTCAGCTTCTTGATATGGCTTAACATGATAATTAAGTTACTGTTTCTATTCATTACTATTATTTTTAAGTAATGAAGTAAAAAAAGGAAAAGAAATTATTAATTTGAATTAATTGTCATGTTTATAAATGAAGCGTGGGTATTGCTTATTTACTTGAGAGTGTGCCAATCTTTTAAGGCTTGCTGATTTTTTTGCTCAAGAGCTTCCACCACATAATCTTAACTTCTGAATTTCAATTCAGGGAAAGGGTGTTTACCAGTTTGTGGACAAATATGGTGCTAATGTTGATGGATACAGGTAAATTACATCTTTCTAATTCTAGATCCAATTATATATATATAGACACACACAAGAGAGCGAGTCTAAAGTAGTGATAAAGTTGTTCATGTGACTTCCGATCATGGTTTCGAATTCGAAAAATAGTCTCTAATTCGAAAAATAGTCTCTTTACAATTATCTAAAGGTATGGTTATGTATAAAGATTGTCTTTATCCCACACTCGCTAATTGAGATTTGATGTAGAGTGGTAATCACACACAACCCATTGATGTACACCATCAAGTATTGAAAAAAAATGGATTAAGAAATCAAGTTCATGCAATTCAAAGTTCTGAATATTGATGTTCACTTATGAATTATTTTCATTCAATTATGTATAAATTAACCAGCTTATTCAAATTGTATTTGGCTGATTTATTATACAGTCCTATCTACGACACCAATGATTGGTCTCCAACCGGTGATGTCTACACTGGAGGTAAGAAACCATTTTTTTTTTGTGTTGGTAACTTTAATGCCTTAAAATTGACATTCAAGAAGCAATAGTATGAAAGGTAGAGAAAAAGAGTTGTTTATCATAGTCAAACTTTCTAATATAAATAATTGGGTAATATTATTACTTGGTCAATATTAAATGTAAAAGAATATAGTTTTTTATTCATAGAATGATAACAAATTTTATAAATGCAGGTACCACTGGGTTGGCTATCTGGGCTGTAACTCTACTTGGTCTTCTTGCTGGTGGTGTACTTCTTGTCTACAACACAAGTGCTTTGTCACAATAGACTTTCATAAGTTATAACTTATTCCATGTAATGTAACTATCTAAAAATGAAGGAATTATTCAAGTACTTGTTATATGGTTCCTTCAGTTCTATTTGTTGTGTGGATTTAAACAATCTTTGTTGTTCGTATAAACATGCATCTTCATGGGTATCTCCAATTTGTTTCTCAACATGTTAAAATCTCTTGGCTAGTTTGTATGCATTGTCTCTTTTCCTCACTGGCACTTATACGGTGTGTGGCCTTCTCTAATTTATTGTTTTAACTATGGGGAAAAGTGTGTATTATTTTGAAGGACATAAATTTGTGTCATTTTAAGTTAAAGAAATAGATAAATCATGGAGGAGAGAATGAATGGAAAAAGTTTTAAAATTGTGAATTCCACCTCTTTGTGAGAGTGAAAAAATATAAGGTGTGTTGTCTAAAATGACACATCTTTTTCCATTTTAACTACACAGCTTTGGCTAGCTATGATATTTCACAAAATGTATGCACACTTCAAAATGGAGTTTTGATTTCTAAATTAGGTTATGTTTCTATTTTCCCCACCTATATTATGGAGTAATAATCAACAAAGATATTATTTGACAACATATTAACAAGCGTTTAAAAATATTAACACTACTTCATGGAGCAATAATCGACAAAAAAAACAAGAGTAAAATTGGAGGATTTTTTTTGTAAATTTTGTTTGGACATGTGACTCAAGAGTGTGGAACAGTGATCAATATGTCACTTTTTGACAAAATTTTTATCCAAATACTACGCGATCAATACTTTTTTATCAGACAGCCACGTGACGTAATTCGCTACGATTGGTAACGATTTGCGTTTGCTAATGATTTTGTGACACATGACACATTTTCGCAAAAAAAAATTGACGTGTCATAATTCGCTACCAGTGGTAGAGAATTTGGTCTGTAATATGGCTATATGTCACGAAATCATTGGCCACGAAATTCGCTACAAGTGGTAGCGAATTATGACACGTGGTAGTCCGATAAAAAATACTGTTCGCGTGACATTTGGGTAAATTTTTTACCAAAAAGTGACACTTTGGTCACTATTCTCAAGAGTGTTTTACAAGTTAACAAATATCATATAAAAAAGAACTTTATTTTTATTAATAAAAAATTAGTTATCAATTATGTTCTTTGGTTATATAATTATGGGAAAAAGAAGTACCCTTTAAAAGAACACCAGCTTGTGTTCTTTCAATGATTTATCGGTAAGACTTTGTGTAAATCTAAAAATTTATTTATTTCTCTCTTTCCTCAGTCACATCATTGATGTGTAAAGTGAATTTTATTTTTTTTAGATTTACATAAACTCTTACTGGTAAGATTTTGTGTAAGTCACTGAAAGGACATAAGTTTGTGTTATTTTAAAGGACATCCACCGAACCATATAATTATATATAGTTAGATAATATAATAATTTTTAGAAGAAAAAATTAAATTGAACTCTAAAAAATTACAATATCAATAACTTGAGGGCGAAGGTGCTTGACTTACAAGTATAATTTAAAATTATAGAATCATGCTCACAGATTGAATCATACAACACAGACTTTATCTTCGTGTTAATTCTAATTATATTCTTTGATTATATAATATAATAATCTTGATCACACAAAATGTGTAATGATGCAAATTGAATGAACACATAAATTTGTTACTATCATACAAGTTGAATGAATACAGATTGTTATGGATATATATCATATCCTAACTACCTACCTAACAATCTATTAAAAAATAGATACTCAATTATCTCAACAATATCAAATAACAAAGCTACTCAAGATAAGGCCCCTATCTCAAGAGAAAGGAAGTTGAATCCTACTACAACTGAGAGATCTACAGAGGTAACCTTTATAAATAAGAGGCTAAAGACCCCATATACACACTTTTTTGACCTATTTACTATTACTGTCAACATTGTGCACACACCCACGTCTTGGCTAAGAGCCTATTTGTAACACCCCGTTCTAGAACCAGTTTGTTAACATTACGTACGGCATTAAGCGCACTTACAATCACAACAATTGAATTAAAGTACAGACGAATTTTTTCCTTTTTATTTATAAACGTTTCTGTTTAAAATCAATTTTGTACTTAAAAAATCTCCCATAAATGTGATCATAACTTAAACTATATGTGGAACACCTATTGCAAGTTTTATTTAGACCATATATTGCTACCATAGTGTGCCAAGCAGTCCCCTTAGACCAACAAGGCTTTCAAACTCATTTTTATTGTTATTCAACACTAAACACCTCCAACTTTTAGTTACCTAAGAAATTTTACACTTCTTATATGGTCCTCATATTCCAATATGTTATATATCTCTTCGTTATCTACGCATAGGTTCAAACCGCGCTCAAATCGGAGAACCGTAGCCCAAGTTATGAATTTTCTACGAAACGAGTGCTGAATACATTGGGATCAGCGCGAATGGCTCCAGACTGGCGCGAATAACGCCACGAAACAGAAGCTTTCCAGACTTATTGCGCGAACGGCGCCAATCATGGCGCGAATGGAGCCAATCATGGCTTTCATACTCATTTTTATTGTTATTCAACACTAAACACCTCCACTTTTTAGTTACCTAAGAAATTTTACACTACTTATATGGTTCTCATCTTCTACTATTTTATAGATCTCTTCGTTATCTACGCGTAGGTTCAAACCACGCTCAAATCGGAGAACCGTAGTCCAAGTTATGAATTTTCTACAAAACGAGTGCTGAAACCACTGGGACCGGCGCGAATGGCTCCAGACTGGCGCGAATAACGCCACGAAACATAAGCTTTCCCGACTTATTGCACGAACGGCGCCAATCATGGCGCGAATGGCGCCGAGAACGCGTTTTCCCACTGTATCTTGGCGCGGTTAGCGCCACCACGGCGCTAATAGCGCCAAATTTCTGGAGATTACACCTAGCCTTAGTATTTTACCCTTAACTGGAGTTATACTTATCCGATTGTCGTAATCTTAGTCTCGTTGGAAGATAAGAAAAAGATCTATAACTTCCATCAAGACAAGGGTCCAAATCTATCATATAGGATGTGGAAAATGGACAACAAGCCATAATATTCTTATATTTACATTAATTCTCAACCTCAAAGGTTTTCTTTCACCTAATAGATATTGTACAACCATTTCAATACATGATTCTTTCCATTTCAAGGCTCACATGATATCCAAAGGGCTCAATTACATCAATGTATTTCAAAATGATTACATACCAAAGACTTAGAAATAACAAGTGATCAAAGTCCCACCAGGGAAATACAACATCAATGATCCACTTCTAAGTCGTATTCGCATTCATCTATCACTAATGCATCAAAATATCTCAAATATCATCTATCATATGAAAGCTACTCGTGCCCTTTGCCTCGCCTAGTATCATCTCTGCTTACACCTGAAATAACAGTCCCCAAACGGGGTGAGATAAAACTCAATAAACCCAGGGTTCTTGGAGAATTGCTCCAACCCCAGAGTTCACTTCCTTCATGAAGGGTTAGTATACACATGGCACGCACTACATCATATATCCAGAGGAAATAATAGCAATGATTTAATTAAAGCATACTCGTGCATTCAAATGGTCAAAAAATTAAACAATTAAATCATCACACATTCTTCAGTTGCATCTTAGTCCTTTCCACTAAGCATACAACCTAGCCCCTCGTGCTTGTCCATTGGCCCTTTCTCCAATGACACAACAATACTATATGAATGCAAACATACAATAATACTAACATTACTACTCAATCATCCATTCATTAACCATTACTTCCATAAAAGCAATGGTGGAACCACAAGAGGGATTAACCTCCAAGATCCAAAGGTTTACCTCTTGATGTTTCCCTTCCTTTGCAAGCTTTCTTATATCTCACTTATCCACACCAATCTTTCTTGGTATGTCCACTTGGCAATTCCTTCCAATCACCAATGCACCCTATTCAAGAGTTTGAAATCCATCAATTTAACATACATACAACATATTCAAAAACCACACAATCCCATTCACACCATAATTTAGGCATGAACTTACCAATCCAAATGAGCTACTCAAGCTCCATGGCTTCCTCCAATGATTGGTCACTCAATGTGGGTCCACTTGCTTCAATCCTATCAACACAATGGGCACCATTAACACAACCAATCCAGGCCATGACTCAACAATGCAAGAAACTACACATTTCAAGCATGAATTTTTCCAAAATATGAAACAATAACCAAACGACTATCTAAGTTCATTTCCACCGTTTATTCATCATTCCTAACAACATTTGTAAAGGAACTTAGCTTCAATATAACTCAAACTTATCAAACTCACAAAATTACTATTCATCATCTTCAACCTCATGCAACCTCCATGGAAACCAAGTTTGAGAAGTGAAAACTTACCCCAAAGCATCACACAGCCAAGGAATGGTGTTATCCTAAGCTCCCATGGAAGAAAATGACATCAAACTCCTCAAATCTTCACAAGGGTCGAAATCTTTGGAGGGAGATATCTCACTCCACAATGCTTCCCACTCAAAACCAAGCTAGGATTTGGAATGAAGAGAAGATTCTTTACATTTTTGGCTTTAGAACGATGAATTTCGTTGAGAGATGAGGGAGCTAGGGTTTGAAGCTCAAAATGGTCTCTCCCTCTCTTTTCTCTCTGTTTTGGTCGACGAAGGAGGAGGAAGAATGAGGCTTCTTTCCTTGCTTTTTCCACTTAACATAGTTAAGTTATCTTAACTGGGTATGAGCTCATCTATCTAGTTAACTCCGTTTACTTCCAAACTTTACCCAAAGGTCTGGAATATTTTTCTAAGAATATTTTTACTTTTACTTTCATATTTTAGATACTTTTGCCTACACCCATTTTTACCCATAATTTTCGCTGACTGCATTTTTTTACCTCAAAAGTGATCCTAATTAATTTAATTAGGCCTTTTACTTATTTCAATTCACTAATACATGCTAATTTACTTAATTACATGTAATTTACTATTTAATTAGGTTAGGGATATTATACTATTGCTTGTGCACAGTGATTGAGATACTGACTATAAGCCAACTACGGTACCTATCTCTAAGGTATCTCTGAGCGCATACCACTCGGTATAGCAATACGGTCTTCTAGGACC